ACACACACACACACACACACACACGCACACACGCTCACACACACCCGTCTTTGGCAGCTGGTGTTGTTGGTGTATTTCTATGTGCCGGGTGACCCTCCTGTTGTTGTTGTTGTCTGTGTTGTTGTTGTTGTTGGCGTTGTTGTTCGTTACGCAGCGATTAGGGTTTTTCTGTTATTTGTTGTTGTGGGTGATGAGGTGGTGGTGGTGGCTCTGTGTTTATTCAAGTGTTGACTTTATTGATCAATTCGTAGAATATTTTTGTTGTTTTTAATTGCTTTTAATGGGGGAGGGGGGTTGTTATTTTGTTTTGTTGTTTTGTTTGTTGTTGTTATTGGATGCGGGCAACCATGCATATTGCGTATTGTTGTTATTGGCTGCTAGTTTGTATGCTTTTTGGTTTTGGTTTTTCGGGGGAAGGAATACAATTAGTGTCTTTGTTTATTTCACCTTCATGAGATAACGAGGATTCTAAGTGGGTTGTTTCACAAACTGACTTTCTTTTATCTTATCCTTTTGCTCGAAATCCCCCCGCCCCATCGAAAAAAAGGAGGAATGAAAAGGGCTATTCTTTCTTTCTCTGTCAGGTAGCTACATTCCTTTCTTTCCTCTTTCCTCTTTCCTCTTACCTCTTTTATTGTATTTTATTTATTTGTTTGGTTTGGTTCTTCTCGCTTTTATTTGTCACCTTTCTTCGTATTCAGCTTGTGTACACCCCTCACTTTTTTCAGTGTTAATTGATCGGAGTAAAGAAGAGAACACGGGATTTGGGAAATGGGTGGGGAGGGGGGGGGGGGGTTAGAGCATAGAGAGCGCTGTCATATTCCATTAACTTTGACACGCTAGTGACGTAGGTGGCCAAAAACCAAATGTTCTTTTTCAGGTACCTTACTCTGTTATTTATAGAGGCTTCTACTTCTCTTCGTTCAGCTCACGCATTAGCCGATGCTTCTATAAATAAATTATTGAAGCCATTTGGTAAATTGAATCTAATTTACGCTCTAGCTTCGTTTTTTTCCAACGGAGTAAATGGAATTTTTATGAAAATGATGACGTGGAATCTATGTCCTTTGAGCTGGCTCAAGGATTGGGTGAAAATGGCTCCCGTTATGATTGTTGGATGAAATCCGCAATGTATGTTATCATGATATACACTTGTATATTATACAAACATACTTGTGTGTCTGTGTGTGAGTGGGGTGGAAGAGAGAGAGG